TAAGTTTAAGGGTCTAAAATTCAGGTTCAATCCCTGCGGGTGACACAACACTAAAACTATTTCTCTTGGATAACAACAGAGGTTTGTAAAAAAATTCTTTAACCATTTTAAACCTGCAAAATCAAAGGATGTTCATAACTGTTTGTCATGAAACATTGTAACATTACATATCAAAAAAATATAAAATAAAGAAGTAAAAGAGTACTCATTATACCTTCCGAGAGTTTATCGAAATACTACTAAATGTTCTATATCCGGTTTCAAGGCATCCAGAGATAAGAAACAAGAGGCATTTCTTATAGACTGGTTAACCTTACTATATTCGTGCTGTTTTAGCATCAGTCAAATAGCACATAAAGTCACTGTTTGTTGTCGTAAATAATGTTTGTTTTTTCTTATTAGGTGTGCCTTGTTGTCATTTTTAGGATAATTCACAGTATGTTGTATATTCTACAAAATCTAGTCACGAAGTTATAATTTGTAACGCTTCTTTTTTAGCTATCCGCATTATAAAGACATATCGTTTTCTAACCTTACAGTAAAAATCCTTATTAAAGATTGCAAATGAGTGAACTATAGCACTCATTCATGAAATATTAAGGAAATATAGGTTATTTTGTGATTTTCCAGTTTGGTTTATATTTATGCATGTATTTTTCATATTTGTATATACATATATATTTTTTGCTGCAGTGGTCTAGAAAAATATACCAGATTTTCCCAAACTTCAGTCATCCTCTCTCCTCCTTTAATAAATATGGTTTCATGCGCGCCTCTTCCCTCTTTTTCAAATGAGTAAGTTAAGTGACGAGATATAATACATATTAAAATGCTATATATGTTATAGTAAATACTTATCATTTTTATCAATGAAAAATATGTTTATGCGCTTAATTTTACATTATTGCGCTGTTGACTCTACCCTAACCGCTCGCGTCCCACTGGGGAGGCGCACCCCAACCTTTGGGAAACACTGTGTTATAATGTTTCATTGGACCAACAAAACTTCATTAGATACTTTTGTATTCTATGTTCGTTATGAGCATCTTCTGAAATCATCTATGAAGTCATTTAGTTTACTAAAGCTTCATGGCTATAAGCAGCGTAAGTTTGAAAAAATTGAAAAATTAACTGTTTTCGAAATTTATATTATTCGCTTCGTGATTTTCATAGAATCATAGTTATCGCTTCTAAATTAAAATTCTTCCAGACTGTTTTTAATTTCACTTTATCAATTTGAAATAGGTTTTAACTCAAGGAATGAATTGTTATTTTCAGAATGTTGGTTTCATGATGTCATCTGGTTAGTCTTATATATGTGAAAATCGACACGAACATTCATGCTCCAAAAACTAATCTTGTGGTGTTAGATAGTAAACGTTGCTATAATAATTATCGTTCAATTCTTCCCTGCCCTATGTGGTTTTCATGTTTTATAATGTTTATTGAACTATATACATATACCAAACAAACAACATTTCGAGTTTCTGTGATCTTACACAGTTTTTAGTTTCTTACTGTTTAAACCTGGCGTGTCCAGTTTTAATGCCCGGTTCTAACAATTGTAACCAAAATAATTTTCTTTCTTAACAATAGAATTCAGAAATAAGTCAATTAGAGCCATATTTAAACTTTACAACGACATGAAATGCACTGTTGCTGAAAATGTATTGCGCATAGTTTCTTTACCTAGGTGTATGGTTTACATAACGCACAATTTCTTTACCTAGGTGTATGGTTTACATAGCACACAATTTCTTTACCTAGGTGTATGGTTTACATAACGCACAATTTCTTTACCTAGGTGTATGGTTTACATAACGCACAATTTCTTTACTTAGGTGTATGATTTACATAGCACACAATTTCTTTACCTAGGTGTATGGTTTACATAGCACAAAATTTCTTTACCTAGGTGTATGATTTACATAGCGCACAATTTCTTTACCTAGGTGTATGGTTTACATAGCGCACAATTTCTTTACCTAGGTGTATGGTTTACATAGCACACAATTTCTTTACCTAGGTGTATGGTTTACATAGCACACAATGTCTTTATCTAGGTGTATGGTTTACATAACGCACAATTTCTTTACTTAGGTGTATGGTTTACATAGCACACAATTTCTTTACCTAGGTGTATGGTTTACATAGCACACAATTTCTTTAC